AAACTATTCTAGAAAGAAATTTGTGAGTAAGAAAAAAGACTAAAATTTTTCATATGTTGTTCCATATGTTTACTATTTGGAGTAAATAAAAAGTCATGATCTAGAACTTTATCTTAGTGACCCTGCTGTTTGATAATAATAAAAATAATGTGTTGGGAGTCTAGTATATAACATTTTTCTATCCTCCCTGAATTCTTCCCAAAAGAGAAATAATGAAGGCAGAAGGGAGGCCAAACTGTCATAAATACTACTAATATATCAGATGCTGGAGAATGTGGCTTATATCTGCAAGGAAAGGACTTATTAATGTTGAACCCCAGAATTAGACTAACCAAATTCACACCATTAAAGGCAAAACTGGATGCCACAAGCTTTTTCTCATGGAACTGGACCACTGTAAGACTTAAGGAATAGAGGAGCAGAGTGGAACAGAGGCTCTCTGAGGCAAGCCACCTCCAAAGAGATAGGGAAAAGGAAGGGGCTAGGTTCCAGTTTACCCTTCCAAACTTACCGATCAGACTGAGTCACACTCATCCCTACCTTAGAATAAGAAAGGGGGAGGTTTTGGGAGGTGGGGGAGACTAGCAGCTTTTTGTGGTAAAGCTTTTCCACATGGAAAAATGTCAGGAGAAGAAAGAATTCTATGGGAGCTATCCTGGTGGGTAGAATACACCATGTTTTTGCAAATAACACTGAAAATATATAAAGAAACTTTTATCTCCTTTATAGTGAAAATAAAATTATATGTAGATTCAATCATTGGAACAAATGTTTTGAACACTACTTGTCCTTGACTGTGCTAGATGCACAGACCAATAGAAAAATGAACAAGAAGTGGAGGGAGTTCCCAGTCCGGTGGGATAGGTTGATACACGTAACTATCGTAGAATATGATTAGTGATATAATGGAATTATAAGCATATTCTCTATGAACACAGAGAAAGGAATAGCAGAGAAAAGCTTTCATAATTTCACTTAGTTTGTTCGCTTAGTTTTCCATTTCTTTATTCAATGCATACCACAGTCCAACCTCTGTACCAAAGTATTAGAACATTAGTATACAACGGTAAACAAAGCAGACAAAATCCCTCCTCTTACTGAGCATGCAGTGGAGACAGAAATTAACAAAATAAAGCAGATAAATATGTAATTAAAAAATGGAATCTGTGCTATAAAGGAAAAAAATAGGGCAGGAAAAATAACAGAGGTTACACAATTTAGATCATAGGATAAGAGAGGACTTCTCTGAGGAGACGTTTCAACTAAAACCTTAAAGATGGTGTATGTCCCACCAGGTAAGAGACAGGCAGGCAGAGTGGTGAATAGATAATTTTAGGAGAAGGAAAGACATGGACAAAGATCCTTAGGAGGAAGAAAGCTTGGAGTTCTTGAGAAGGCAGAGTGAGATGGGGATGATGGCTGAAAATAATATCAGGGATATGGTCAGAGGTCATATTGTGACAGGCATGTAGGCCACACTATGGACTTCAGGTTTTATGATATTCATTATGAAGCCACTGGATGATTTCAATAATGGGGATGATGATTTAGAGTGGATTGGAGGGTCAAGAGTGAATGAGTAGAGAGAGATTGCTACTGCGATCCAGGTGAGAGAGGATGGTACTTAAAACTAAGATGTCAGCAATGCAGACAGAGAAGTAGAAGGATTCAAGAAATATTTTGAAGGTAAAAGCAACAAAATTTGTTGATAGGTTGGGGTCGGGTAAGAATGATGTGATTTGTGAACATGTCAAAAATGCCTGCTACATTTTTTTTTTTTAACGCCTACAGCATCTGGTCTTCCTAGGTGGTCTCCCAACCAAGTACTAACCAGGTGCAACCCTGCTTAGCTTCCGAGATCAGTCGAAATTGGGCATATTCAGGGTAGTGTGGTCGTAGACAAAAAAAAAAAAAATGCCTACTACGTTTTGGATTTAAGCAATACCCAGAAAAGACAACATGTGTGCTGGGCCTTAACAACTAAGTTGGATTTTAGTTGATAGTGAAGAAAGAGAGGGTACAGAGGTGTGAAGGCCTGTGGCATATTCGAAATTCCACGAATAGTATTCGGATGTACTTGGAGTATAAGGCATGTGATAAAAACGCAGGGAAACAAAGGATAGGCAGATTATGAAGGCCCTTCAATTTCTGACAATTTTTTTGTTTTTGTTATTTGTTTAGTCAGGGCAGCATCACTTCAGATGTATATCTACATTTGTATTAGCTTGTTGGGAATTTAGGACTTCAGCTTAGGAAAGAGGGATTAGGGACAAAAATTTGGAAATTATCTACAGATGATAAGTAACACCATTAGACCAGGTGTAACTGCCCAAAGTAAGAAGTACAAAGTACAAAGTAAGAAGACAATCAATGACTAACCTTCGGGAAGCCTCTGCATTTAAAGGATAAGCAGAAGAAAAACAATGAGAAAGAAGCTTGAAAGGTGTGAAATCTTCATGGACAGTATGAAATAAAAATGAAATCATAAGTAGTTACATAATCATGTCTAGCAATTATAGAGCATTTACCGTGTGCTTAGAACTGTTCTAAGGGATTTATATAAATTAAGTCATTTATTTTTTACTATAATCTTGTAGGTAGGTGCTATTATTTACTTCATTGTATAGCTGTGGAGACGGAGGCATAGACAAGCTAAATTGCTTCTCCAAGGTCACTAACCTAATACATAGCAGAGCCGGGATTCAAAAGGATTTGTAATTTTAACCTCTATGCTTACTTCCTCTCAAGATCCTGAGCTTTATCATTTCTGTCCTCCCTGGACTAGATGAAAAAACTAGCTCAGGCATGGTTTTCTGAGTCTCCAGAAGGCTTCTATAGGAATTAACCCAACCTCTGGCTTACGTGTTAATCATAGTAATATTCTACAAGTTAGCTGCCTTAACAAGTGTTAATTAATGATCCCACATCTTCAATACAGAATATTTTAAATAAACAGACATCTTGATATTTATAAATAGAAAGAATTACCTAAAGCAGAGATCACTAAACCATTGTGATGTAAAGTAGTGTTTTCTACTTTAATGCATGGCTTTTCTACCTTAATGCATGGCATCCAGCTAGAGTTCAACAAATAACCTGAACATGGCAAATTAACTTAAAAGAAGAAAAACACGTAATAATTATAAAAGAATTCAGTAATACGGATCAAACAAAATATGTATCAAAAATTTCTAATTATTTAGAGTAGAAACAATAAATTCATAGAGATAAACTAAAATTGTTTTTTGTAATTGCTTTCTTACTAAAGTTTAATAACAGTATAATTACAATAACCTTAAAATAAAGCTGGTTGTCAACTGGGAACAATTTTTCCCACACCCCTGTATCTAGGGGACATTTTCCCACACCCCTGTGTCTAGTGGGTGAGAGGTGCTACTGGCATCTAGTGGGTACAAGCCAGAAATACTGCTAAAGGTCTTACATTGCACAGGACAGCCCCCCACCACAAAAAGTAACCTGGCCCCAAATGTCAGCAGTGCCAAGTTTGAGAAACCCTCCTATAAAAATAGCATCCATATCAGTAGCAGCTAAACTTAAAGAATTAAGAAAAAGGCAACTATTACATATTTCAGTATATATAGAAAAAGACAACCAAAATTTAGGGGGGAAAAAACAACTTAATTTTGGCATTCATGATAAACTTGAATAAATGTCATGTCATTTCTTGCCATCACTAGCTTCTTGCCATTGCACTAATTATAAGACTGATGGCTCTCTTTCCTAAAATTTTTACACTCAATACTTTGACTCTGTTCTTCATACTTGAAATAACTTTTGTAGAACATACCAGTGTGGAAACTAAAGCACACATACCAAAGAATTTAAAGTGGGAAGTGATAAATATTGGCATTTCATTTAATAACTGCTAAAATCCAAAGAATGGACTAGGTATATGGAGTGACGTTTCTATCCAAATTTCCTGTCACTATCGGTGAAGGAGAAAGCACTAACAGACTTTGTGTGTTTAATTTTAATCCAGGGCAAATTTTTATGACTGAGTGATAAATCCACAAGACTGGAGTTCATATTGGGAGCCCTAACACTACTAACAATAATGATTCTAGTGGGCATTACCATTTTTAAAAGTATAAAAAATTAATGAGCAGACAGTCATTACAGAAACTCATTCTGCATCACACATACCACCCAGGAGACTGATATTTCATGCTTACAAAACTTAACATAAAATTAAATTGCAAGTATTTTCTCACAATCTACTAAAATTATGGCCTAAAGCAATACACTGCTAATATGAGACATTTGTTCAGCTCTAGTGGACATATTTCCTATATGACTTATGTGAAAGGCTTCGTTTGCTTCTTCACAGATTCAATAATGAGGTTCCTTTTGTTATATTAAGCCTAGAAAGTATAGAAACTTCTTTAAAATTAAGCCAGCAAATATAATACTGAATTATTAATAAATGAGTCAAATTAATAAATTTTTTCCCCTCCTTGTGTATGTGACTATGTCGTTTTAAACATCAGCCATTCTTTCATTACCCAAATATATATAAAGCATCTGAATGTTCCATACAAAAAATACATTTTCATTCTTTGGGAACAAAACTAGAGTAACAAATTTCAGGCAAAATAATAGGTTATGATTTTTCCCTCCTGAAATCTAGAAAGATAAAAAATAATTTCAATAATTTCTAAAAGAAAAGTTAGGAATAACAGAAAGGATAGTTGTGGGACCAATACTTTCTCTTAATCTGTTAGATTTCTTATACCTGAGTCCATCAGGTATAAGAAAAGAGAGAATAGATTTTAGTATTATCAGCTCAATGATCATGAAACTTATGTGCAACACTTTCTAGTCATATTTGCTTATTAGCATGTTTCAGAATACACACAGAAGGAAATAACATCTTCGTCTAGAACTTAAAAATCCTTCCATTTAGCTTTGTGCTGAGATCTATTTGAGAACTTGAAAAATTACCAGACTTTTTACACCAAAATATAATAGACAATTCTTACCTTAAGCACTCAGCATCATTTTGAGGCTTTTCATTGATTTTTATTTTTTCTGTCTCTAGGTATTTTGTAGTACAAATGGCTTCATTCTCTTTATCTTCAAAAACTAAACAATTAAGAAAATTCTTATAATCTTTCACAATTTAAACAAAGGTTATTTTTATTCATTCATAAGAATAATCCTCTAACTTCTGGTGCTTTGTGTAAAACGTATGTGCTAATGATTTTTATTTTTCTACTTTAATACAGTAATTAAAGGCACACAAAATCTTAACAAAATTTGGGATGTTAAAATGTCAGATCTAACACTGATCAAGTCACTGTTTTATCTATTCTTTTTTTATACCAATAATAGCACTATATCCCAATAGGTTGATATATTTTGAATGAATGACTCTATTGTGTATATATATACTCATCAGCAAAATAAGCTAACACATATATGTAATACCTTTAATTTTTCTCTGAAGAGTAAATAATTCTTGCATTAGTTCATTCTTTTGCTTTTGAAGTTCATTTAACTGGCCATTGTCATGTTCCATTGACTTCATTTCTAGAAACAAATAAACAAAAACCATTTTTTAATTACTTAGGCTTTCCATAAATATGTCAGCACTTATTTTTTCTCATGTAGTAAAAATTTAAGCAGCATGTGGTAAATTTTAAGCCTGAACTAGCTTCCCTGGGACACTTAGGAATTGTTGCCAATAAACTGACCAGGATTTGTTTAAGCACCAACTGGATACAAAAAATGTCAATTGATGGTTAAGACTACCAAGAGAAAATTCAGAATAACGTAATGTCTAAGTAAAACAAACTTTCCAATGCGATAATAAGAAAACTCTGCCTTTTATAAGTAAAGCATATTTAAAATGACCTTGCATAGTGTTCATTATATGGTTATAAGCTTCTACAATATTGCTAGTATTGTTTCTTCCACCTAGAACGCCTTCCTTTCTTTATTCGCACAACTCTTTTATAGTTTACATTTAAATTTTGATCACAAGAGGGTGTTAACTTTTATGAAATGCTGTCTTTTATTTTTTATATCCTTCACTTATTTATTATATCCATGTCCTTGAATATATTTATAATATTTAAAAGAGCAATTTAAAGTCTTACTTTGCCAATTGCATCATCTCTGTCATTTCTGGGTGTTTCTAGTGATCTAATTTCCTCCTTGCTATGAGTTATAATTTGCTGCTTCTTCAAATGTCTAGTGATTTTTTGATTAGATACTAGACATTGTATTTACTATTTAGTTAAATGTTTGAGTTTTGTTATCTTCCCCTAAAGCATGTTGATGTTTGTTATTTAGCAGGCACTTAAGTAACTTATGGATTAAATTCAAACGTTTTTTTTAGTGGGTCTAGAATAGCCTTATATCTAAGGCTAATTTAATCCTACTCTTAAGGCAGGACTTCTATTTAATAAGATATTTCTAATATGAATGCCTGTCTTTACAAGAATTTAAGCCCAATGAGGACAGGGACTTTTTTTTTTACTCATTGCAGTATCCAATGCCTATAACAATGCCTGATACACAAAAAATATAACAAATCATTATTGAATGAATGAATGAACTAAGCACATTTTAGAAATACATTGATGAGAAAAACATAGTTCCTGTCCTTGTGGAACTTTACATGTTAGTAGGGGAGACAGATTTGAATCAAGTAAGTACATAATTACAATGCTCTAAAAAAAACAGTAGAAAGACCTTTGAGAGAATATAATCAGAGGAACTGTCCCAATAGGGGATGGAGAGCGTGTGTCAAGAGAAGGATTGCCTTAGGAAATAACATTTGAGCTGAGAAGAATGACTGAATTAAATAAAGAATAAGAAAAATTACTTCAATAAAGCATATTCAAAGGTCCTGAGGCAGGAGAAAGCACAGTACAATCTAGGAAACAAAAGAAGCCAGTGTGCCTTCAGCACAAAATGCAAAGGCCACCAGTGAGGCTGGAAGGAGGAGAGGCATTAGGTTGTGCAGGGATGGCAAAACAAGTTGAGGAACTTGGTTTGCTATGGTTATCATGATATTTTTAAACAGAATATAACTAAATTAAGAGGTTCATTATAATAGTCCAGTATTAATAATTTCTTTTAAAAATATATGTGTTAATATTTTGGAAATCTCAAGGAGAAAGAACAGAATCCAACTCAGGTTAAAAAGTAAAAAGCAAAAAAGATGTCTGGCAGTGAAAAAACACTCTTGAGTAGTAGAAAATAATAAGACAGCTATGAATAGTTGAAGATGAAGATTATTCAAAACCCAATGGAACTGAATAACTAATCATAGTTATGGGTTAAAAGCTCAATGGAAAGGGTCAGAGTGGGTAGCCAAGGGAAGGAGAAAAAGAGAGGAGAAAAATCAAGTGTCAGGATATAACAGATGTGGGGGTATGCCTTAGAAAAGGAAATAGAAGAGCAACCACTGACAGGAAGGAAGACAAATGAAAAATAAAACTACTCTGGGAAGAAACTAGCTCTAGTATCTGCTTAAAATTTGAACACCACTTAGAAAAAGGAACCAGAAACAGTTTCACAGGTGAATTATTTCAAACCTGGAAGGAACAGATAATTCTAGTGTTTACATTTTTCTAATATTTACATTCTTTGTGTTAAGTCAACAAACATAACACTCACAAAAAAGAATAATCTTGCTTATAAATATTAACCCCAAAATTTGAAAGAAAATATTATCAAACAGAATTCAGTACTATACTAAAAGACTAAGAGACTACAACTAAGGTTAGTAATAGGATATTTATTAATAAAATTCACTATGTTAATAGATTAAAATGGGAAAATCATATATGATTCATCTCAAAAGGGGGAGGGTAGAGGAGAATGGAAGGAAGGAAAAGGGGAGAAGAGAGAGCGTCAGTCTGGCATCGTGATTAATAGCAAAACTCGAAAAGTATTTCCATGAAGATCAGTGATAAAGAAGGGTATCCAACATCATCACTGCTAAAGACTGAATATTTGTGTGCTTCCAAAATTCGTATGTTGAAATTCCATTTACAATAGTGATACTTAGAGAAATATTAATGAGAAAGGCAAAGACAGTTGAAATACCTATGCTGTTTTTAGATAGGAACTCAACACTGTGAAGTTATCAATTCTCTCTAAATTCATTAATAAAATTAATGCAGTCCTAATTAAAATACAAGATTATTTTGAACTTGGTAAAATGAGATTTAATTTTATCTAGGAAAACAAACACAGGACAATCAATAAGAGTAAGGAGAAAGTATTGCCCTGATAGATATTAAATCATATTCTGAAAGAATAATTAAAACGTGAAGTAGACAGAGTAGAGCACAGAAATGTAAATTTAATAAATGATAAATATAGAATTTCAAATTGGTTGGAAATGGTGAATTAATAAATATTAGTGTTAAATAACTGACCGGCCTTTTGAAAAAAGTTGGATCCCTAAGTTTTTACATCAAAATAAATTCTGGATGGATGTAAAATATAAATGGGAAAAAGGAAACAGAAAGTTACCAGAATAAATATGGGTGAATATTTTTTATTAATGTTACACAGAGAAAGCCTTTCTAAGCTGGAGACAAAAATCCAGAAGCCATAAAGGAAAAGATTCGTTAAAATGATGGCAAAATTTTTAGATTTCTATATGGCATTCAGACACACAGAGACACACAGACACACACAAAGAGTACAGACACACACACAGAGTATAGTAAAAACGTAAACAGTAAACTAGGAAACAAGATTTATAACACATGATGGAGGGCTAACTTCTTAAATTTACAAAAAGCCCATATAAATCAGTAGGAACAAAAAAAAATGAACAAAGAATGTAAATAGATTGTTCACGGAAACAGATATAAAAGTGTCAATAAATTCAGAGAAATAAATCCAATGTCATGTAAAATCAAAGAATGCTAATTAAGCCAACAATGAAAATAATATCTTTACTAACTGTTAGAGTGGCGAAGATTAAAGTTATTGACAATTCCAAGATTGGTAATGGTATGGGATAGTAATATAGAAAAACAAGCATTCTCCTATACATTTGGTAAGGAAATTAATTAATTCAGTGTTTTAAGGAGCATAATCTAGCATTAAGTCTCTTAATATTTCCCTTTGACCTAGAAGTTTTAATAGATTTTACTATATGAATATATTCACAAAAATACAGTGAAATATACTCAGATATTTAGAGGCCCCTGTTGATGGTCATGTAGGTTGTTTCCTGATTTTTGTTTTCTTCTCAAACCACCACCAGTCCTGCTGTCCGTGCAGTTTTCTGTCTTCTCTGGGAACTTCCCTTCTCCTGAATCTTCCTCTCTACTGGCTCCAGTCCATCAGCATTTAAATATGTTCAAGTATCTCTCATCTCAAAAAGGAAAAATGAAAAAAGGACAACTCTACTTCCCCACTAAAAATCCTCCCCTTGCTTCACATCCCCCTTGTTACTGAACTCTATCTTATCCACAGCGAAACTTCTTCAAATATATTTTCTGCTCCATTTTCTCTCCTCTCCTTCAGAGACTAATCACTCACAGCAGACCTTTCAAAATTGTCCTACAGATCCCTGAGGTTCCATTTTTGTTTTGTTTCATTTTTTTCTCTTTGGATCAGATAATTTCTATTGTTCTATCTTCATATTCATTGGTTCCTCTGTCAGCTCTCTTCTGCAATTAAGTCTATTCAGTGGCTTTTTTTTTTCTTCCAGATACTGCATTTTTCAGTTCTAAAATGTTCATTTGACTTTTCTGCATTTTCTATTTCTCCACTAAGATTACCTATCCTTTCACATATTACAAGTGTATTTTCCTTAACTCACTGAGCTTAGTCTAAAATAGCTGCTATAAAGCCTTTATCTGATAATCCCAATGTCTAAGTTACTGTGGTTTTGACATCTCATGTTCTTTTGACGCTAGGTCACGTTTTACTGATTCTTCATAGGGTGAATAATTTTGGATTGCATCCTAAACATTGTGAATACTGTGCTGTAAACACTGAATTTCTTTTCATAAAAGCTATCCTCTTGAGTGTGAAGTGGTATCTTATTGTGGTCTTGATTTCCATTTTCCTGATGACTAGTGAATGTTGAACATCTTTTAATGTGTTTATTGGCCATTTCTTTGGAGAAATGTCTATTCGAGTCCTTTGCTCATTTAAAAAAAATTTTTTTGTGGAGTTCTTTATATATTCTGGATATTAATCCATTATCAAATATATAATTTGCTAATATTTTCTTCCATTCTGTGGGTTGTGTTCTTATTCTCTTGACAGTGTCCTTTGATGCACACAATATTTTAATTTTCATGAAGTATAATTTGTCTATTTTTTTCTGTTTTCTGTGTTTTTAATAACTAAGAAATCATCACCAAATCCAATGTCATAAAGTGTTTCCCATGTGTTTTCTTTTAAGAGCTTTATAGTTTTGGTCCTTAAGTTTAATAATTTGATCCATTTTTCGCTAATTTTTATATGTGGTATAAGAGCCCCTCTTTACTGTTTTGTATGTGGCATTCAGTTTTTCCAGCACCATTTGTTGAAAAGGCCATCTTTTCTCATAATGGTCTTAGCACCGTTATCAAAAATCATTTGACCATATACATGAGGGTTTAATATTTGGGCTCTCTATTCTATTCCATCGTTCCATATGTCTGTCTTTATTCCAATACCACACTGTTTTGATTACTGGGTAGCATTTTAGTAAGTTTTGAAATAAAGAAGTGTGAGTCCTCCAACTTTGTCTTTTTTCAAGATTGTTTTGATTATACTGAATCCCTTGGGATTCCACATAAATTTTAGGATACGTCTTTCTATTCACAGAAAAAATACTTTTGGGATTTTAATAGAAATTGCATTGAATCTGTAGATCATTTTGGGTAATAATGTCATTGTAACACTATTAAGTTTTTCAATCCAAGAACATGGAATGTCCATTTATTATGTCTTCTCTAATTTCTTTGAGCAACGTTTTCTAGTTTTCAGTGTGTAAGTCCTTCAGCTTCTTGGTCAAATTTATTCCTAAATATTTTATTCTTTTGATGCTGTTATAAATGGAAAATTCAAATGTCCTTTTTAAATTGCTCATTGCCAGTACACAGAAATGCAACCGATTTCTAGGTGCTGATTCTGTACAATGCAACTCTGCTGCAGTGGACACTTGAATAAGGTGAGAGTTAGATGCACCAACCCCCACACAGTCTAAAACCCACATATAACTTCACTCTGTCCTCTGCATACATGAATCCTCAACCACAGATCAAAAATAATGCTTTCAATCCCTGGTTGGTTGAATCTACGGATGTGAAACCCAGGGATACTCAAGGCTGACTGTATAGTTATTGAAAAAAATCCATATATAAGTGGACCTGTGCAGTTTAAATCCGTGTACTTCAAGGGTCAACTACATTTATTTATTACCTCTAGCAGATTGTGTGTGTGTGTGTGTGTGTGTGTGCGTGTGTGTGTGTGTGTGTGTGTGTGGAGAATCTTTAGGTATTCTACATATAAGATCCTGTCATCTGAGAACAGAGATAATTTTACTTCTTTTCCAATCTGGATGCTTTTTATTTCTTTTTCTTGCCTAACTGATTTGTTGAATAGAATTGGTGATATCATGACTTTTAAATTAAAATTATTGGGGTGACATTGGTTAATAAAATCAAATAGGTTTCAAGTGTACAATATAACAATGTTATATGTACATTGCATTGTGTGTTCGCCACCCAAAGTTAAATTTCCTTCTGTCACCAAACATTTGACTCCCTTTACCCTATGTCCTTCCTCCAACCTCCCCTTCCCCCTGGTAACCACTAATCCACTGTCCATGTCCACGAGTCTCTGTTTGCTGCTTTCAGTTTTATATCCCACATGAGTGAAAAAATATGGTTCTCATCTTTGTCTGACTTATTTCACTTAGCATGATAATCTCATTCATGTTGTCACAAATGGCAGTATTTCATCTTTTTTTTAAGGCTGAGTAATATTGCACTGTATATATGTACTACACCTTTATCCAATGATATGTATGACTTTTTAAAGAAAGTTAGCTTCAGACTATCTCCTAAGGATAAAACCTGTATTGAACTTTGTTCTACATTATGGTTATTAAACAGCCATGCACATCAATAGGATTTAAAAAAAATATGTTCCCTATCCTCAGCTACAGAGATTCTGATTCAATAAGGCTGGGATGAGAGTCAAGCATTTCATATTTTTTTGAGTTTCTCAGATGTGCACCTCTAGTTAAGAATCTGTCCTATACTCTCTATCCAATGTAATTTATCCACGAAAACCTCATTTTCTTCATCTTTATAAAATAAGACTAATTTAAAAATATAATCCCCATATTTGTGAGGTCTTAATTATGTGCCAGGCAACATTCTATATGCTTAACTATTCTTCCATTGAATCCTCACAATAACCTTGTTAATGCCATTATTATCATCCCTTATCTTTACAGATGAGGAAACTGAGACAAAAAAAAAGTTAAGCATCTTGCCCAAAATCACATAGCTATTAAGTGGTGAAACAAAGATTTAAATTCAATCAACTTGACTTCAGCATTTAAAATCTTCAGGATGGTGATTTTTATATGGGATATGCCTAATAAATATTACCTGTGATAATAACAACTGCCATATACAAAGTACAATAAGTTATTCATCGTAACTCTAAGTCAATACAAATGTTAAGTGTGTTTATTACTCTCCATTTACCAAAGGCATCGAAGCAACTATGCTTTAGAAAGGCTTCCATGAAAAACTCATTTTCCATTTAATATCATTTACATTTTCATTTTCTACTTCCTCAATTCCCTCTGGTTCCTTAATCTATTACTACCAATCTTCTACCCCTCCATGATACTGCTCCTGACATCTTCCAATTGTCAAATGTCCTATTTTAATTCACATTCATTTGAGGAAAACTTGGTTTGTTGTTTTCTTTTTGCTTTTAGTTTTCAAAATAATACTCTCTGCTGTTCTCCTACCTTGTTTGACTACTCTAATCTTTTTCCTTTCCTTAAATGCTATGCTTTCTTAGTTTCTGTCTTTGGTCTTTGTTTCTGCTCTATGTTCCCTCTGAATGATGTCACCAACTTCTCTGGGTTTAGTCCCAAACCTAATACTCTAGCTCCAATCTCTCTTATCAGTTTCACAACCAAATTTCCACCTGCCACCTGGGCACCGCCATCTGTTTATCTCATAGACATCTCCAACTAAAAATACCTGAAGCCAAACACTGTCTTTTTTGTACAGAAAAGGCTTCCGGTACCATATTCTACAATATCTCTGAAGTTTGAAAACTGTGATTCTTCCTTGACTTTCTCTATTTCTGTTTACATTAATCAGGGATAAAGTCTTGTCATTCTTCCTAAACACTCCTCTAATTCACTCTCCTCTCCTTGGCAACTCCTTAATTCAAGATCTTATCAAAGACTGCAATAACCTGCATTCTAGTGTTCCAGAAATGAAATTCTCCCCACATCACTGTGTAATCTTGTTTCCTAGTTTCAACTGGATTGATAGTATAATGAGGATTATAGCACTAGCCTTACCCCTAGGATAGCTTCTATCACATTGTACTATAAATATCTACTTACATATTTGATTCTCCCACTTTTTAGTTTTATAGCTCCAGGTCCTAGAACAGTACCTACCATATAACAGATAGTAAATATATATTTGTTTATTGAATGAATGACCAAAAGCTTATGTCACACCTACTTCTAAGGGATTTGAGACTGCTCACAATAAAAGATACATGTCCATTAGGGCAATTAAGATATAAGTAAAAGAATGGCTATACAATAGCCCAATTTGCTTATTGATAGAGTTAAATTTCTGTAAAGTCTATTGATTCAAAATAAATTATTTTCCTTAATGCCAGATAAATTAGGTAATATTATGTATTCATACCCCTTTTCAAAATGTTTGCCTGGTTTTCTAAGTCGGATATTTCAATCTTCACATTTTCTTTCATCAAAAGCTCTCTTTTCTTTGTTATTTCATACTCATTATTGAAATGTGTAATTTCCTTAATAAATTTTTCCTCCTCCTCTGTCACTTTTTTCTTCATAGCCTCCTGAAAAATGAAAACAGAAGATCAAATACAGGTGTTAATTGCAATGACATTTTTTAGTGATTTAAAATTCAATTATTTGGAATTATGAACATCAAAATATAATATTACACACCCTGGTATTATCATGAAAATGCTTTAATCCTCCAGCAACATCAATAAAAAAAAATTATAGGTATTATGTAACAACAACCATTTTCACATGAAAGACTTAACGTTTTGAGAGAATTATTGATACAGAAATTCTACGTTCATCATTATATATGTGATTGTGCATTAAACTTATAACAATATATGCCATTTTGACATTATAATATAAATTTGGTGGTAAAATAATTAAATGACCAAACTTGAAAATAAAAATCTACACTCAGAGGAATTACTGCCTTATAGAAAAAAAAGAGAAAAACAAAAAAAAACAAGGAAATCCAAGGAAACCTATTAAAATGCATACAATGAAGGTAAAATTATATATTCACTTCAAATTCAGTTCTAAATAACAGTTTATATTTTATGAAATAGCAACTTGTAGTAGGAATAAAAATTTCTAAAAACTCTGGACAATGCTAGAATATAAACTTTTTGACAATGCTAGAATCTAAACATTACTAAATTTATCTATTATTTTCTAAGAAACGTCAACTAATTATTAGCTACATTTGGAATCTGGCCATATCATTTATAAACCACTGGTGATGATTCTGTTGAGTTTAGATATATATTTTAAAATGCATTTTCTTTGAAATGTCAATTAATTACACGTTGTATTCCTAAACTGGCCCTGTCATTTGAAACTACTGAGTCTGTTGGCTCTGATGTATGATAAAAAGATAAATAAAATCTATCCTTTCACCTAAATCCATAAATGTCTAAAATGTGAACCTCTCTGCTTTTCAAAAGCATTAAAACCAATGTCTAGAAGCCTGAGCAATTCAAATCAGTTTCACTATTTCTTTTATGCTTATTACAATTGCAAATAATTTCTATATTGCATCGCTGCCAATAGACTTCTTTCAAACTATATTACATTACCAACTGGTTTTAAATAGCACTTAATACTTCCTCATATCTGAACAGAACTATCTGCCAATATGCATAAGAATAATTTTCTAAAAGTACACCTAAGTGTATTTAAATACTTTTGATACAGTTAGTGAAACAGATTTTTCTAAGTGGCTGGAGACTTACAAAGGTTTGGAGAAGCATATTCCTTTGGTCTGTAATTTCACTGCACTGCCTTTCTAAAGCATTTTCATGAGTTTTCAAAAGCTGTAAGAGGAAGGATTT